GGGGAGTTATATGTATAATAATTTTAAATATTATGCGGAGTATACTATTTAATTTTTAATGATAATTTATATTTTATATAGGTACAAAAAGTTGATTTGAATTGACAATATAGACTACATACACATAATTGTTCATATTAGGTATATTATTTTATAATGTTATATGTATATTTTTTAAATTAAATTAAATTCAGYTTATTGATAAGTGAGTATAATTTTACAATGAGCATGTWWWACATAGCGTGTCTTTTCTACGTAAAGGCCATGGGAGGGGAGCATTTATGAACCATCCAAAATGTCCTTTTTAATTCTGTATATACTATAATATAKGTACCAGAAGCATAATATTTAAAATATAATATAATATGCCTTACGGCTGTTTGTTATTCTTTATTTAGTATGTCTTATACAAAAAAAACTTTAAGGCGTCGTACTACCGTTGTTTAATGCTAACCGCGTTTATGATCATATTTGTCATGAAAATAGTAAATATTCTTTGCTACCGAAYGGACACTTGTTAACAACACTATTGGATATACATATGCCCTACATGATAAACAATTATTAGTTATTTATTCACACCTGATGTCTTTATACTATATTCCCTATCAAAATATTAATCGAACAATTATTCATAATTAAACACGCACAATGAGCTCATTGTAGCACATAAATATATAGGAATAGGTAGCGTAATCGTCGTTATTAGGTATAGAATTTATGGAAAGTAGAACTGTACATCGTATATGCATAGGTATATAATAACTTTATTTCATAAAATTAGATGTATGATTATAACTATACAAGTAGTATACCTGAATGAACGTATATATAATGCATGTTATATAATTTTTTAAATAAACATTTTAACATTATTTGACAATCGAAATTCGATAAACCGACATGATGGGGATATTGCCGATGTGCATTATAGTATATTAATTTTGTAGCTTTTTATTTTTATAATAATTTAAACACGTACCTAAATACGTGGGGTGGGAGGAGAGGGTTAATCAACATTTAGTAATACAAATCGTATGATGATATAATAATAATATAGTCGCCATTTTTGTTACGCGAAATTCTGATCACCTTGCTAATAGGATATTTTGCTCGTAGTCCTTCTAATTCGAAAAAAAAAACGTAAAATTACAATACGTGTAATTTATTATAATCATTTCTATTTGTGTTTGACCAATCGATAAATTATTTTGCCTACAAGACGAATAAAATATTCATGATTAAAATCTAATTAGACGACACTGTTTGTGTATTATGTACCAAAGGTTACATAAGTAATTATACGGAAATATTTAATATATTAGCAACGAATTGTTTTACCATCTTGGCGGTCAAACATAGCATCTTAAAGGAATTGCTAAATGAAAAATAAATTTAAGCCCGTACAAAGTAATTTTTGAACGTATGATGTGTATTACATATGAACATCCAATTATCATAACTATTTAAAAAAAGGAATATATGTTTATTATACTGCAGAGCTTACATTTTACTCGTATTTACTGATAATAATTCATTAGATATTGCAGAGATCGATGTTCATTATATTTTAGTGTATTGATAATTGTTCACTTTTACGATTCAATGTCTACCGATAATATTTATTCCGATGAAAAACCATAAGCTTTAATTTAAATAAACATTGGATATTTGGATTAGTATACACAATACACTTATATATATAGGTAATGGTATTATTACCGATGTTTGCATTAAAAATCTATTACAACGGCGTAAAATGGAAAATATTTTCTCATTATAAATTTCACTTTTACATAGGTAATATTATTATTTACTGTAGCATTACAACTGACGGATATGGTTTACGTATGCGTTTCATACGTATCGTTTGTTGTTTTAATATTATTATATCATCATAAGCTGATTTTGTAATTACAGATATTATCGACCAGTTTTTATAGGTTTAATTGTACAGATAATCTTTGCAGCGGTAACGGAAAATCGGCAGAATTAACTGTCGATAATTAAGTATCTTGTGGGTTCCTTATTGTGATAATATCATTTTTGTACTTGCAAGTGATTCCGAACCATAGACCTTATATACTACTTTAAACTACCTAATAAGGTCCATGTTGCGAACCAATAAAGTAACAATGGAGAAAACACATTTACAATATTTACATACAAAGCGTATCGACAATACATCATAATATAAATACATATTACAAAATATTTTATTTTACTTTTTTGTTTTTAGCTTCTAGTATAGACTATTATAGCTCAAAAATGAATGCGAATACAGGAAATGCATATAGTACGTGAAAATGAAATATATAAACATAATGTGGGTAAAAATATTATATTTATACTATCTATATAGACATATACTCGTACATCTGCATGGGTGGGTAGACGGGTTTTTTTTTTTCAAAAGTATAATACCTTGGACGACATCATCTCGTTAACGTTTTAATATATTTCGTATAGATAAATAATCTTTATAGATACAAATTATTATGATTACATTGGTTTCAACAATCGATTGAAAAAAAGCTTATCATACTTTTCCTTGAACCTCTTTCGTTTCCGCATAAATTATATTATAAATAAAAACGCAAATCTAGGCTAGTGACTTCTAATAGATCTAGACTCTTCGACGTACGTTATTAGGTCATGTGCATKATATACAATATATTTTAGTATACCTACCTATATTATAACTATTTTAATGATTTGAACTAGGCATAACCATTAAAAGGTAAAACATTAAACATCCGTGAAATGGGGGG